CAAAAACCTTTTATTTTCCCAAGTTCTACACATTTAAAAGAGTAATTAATTTTAGTCTGACGCTTTTCCCAGTTGTCTTCACCGTCTAGACACCGACAAAAAGAAAAACTTCGTTCCTATCGCAAAAAAAAAATTTCATCTCACAACCCAATCAATATCAATCCCCCGCATGCAGAAATTCATGTATGCTGCAACATGATTCGCTCGGAAGATAACTCTATTTGTCTTCGGCTCGCTTTACGCTAACACTTAGAACAAACTAAAGCCTAAAGCCGATTCCGCCATTCTAGAACCGGATTCGATTTTTCCCCCATTCATACATAATAAAAACCATTAGTTCTATTCACGCTTAAATTAGTCGAAAAACGTCGTTATTTTAAATCGGCTTAAGGGAACATCCAGAGGATCAAGGGTTGTGCGTCGCTCGTCTTGTACCCATCTTAACGGAATTAAAGCTGTCCTGGTCCGAATTTAAGCAAGCCCATAAACTTTTTTAAATCAAATAACAAACTTTGATTCCTCGGTTCGCTCAGAAGGGAAACTGCCATCAATAAACGAAACTGCTGAAAGCGAATTAAATCACGGATTTAATTCGGGCTAATATTGAGTGAAAGGAGCACTCAAGATGTTTTTTGGTAGCGGGATGGATGGCAGATATTTGAATGAAGTTCGCGTTGTAGTACGCGTATTTGAAGATGGAGGGGCCGTCAGGAGCGAGCCAATTAAGTCGGATTTACTGGTTTAGAACTGTAATAACAGATATAGAAAGGTGGTGCCAGTGTCTTGAAACGATCGATTGCAGTAAATCGTATACATTCAGTTTTCATTAGTCTATATTTACCGTTTTAGATTTCGGGTACCAGTTTTTTATCAAGCTTGAAACGCCATGATTAGTATTTTGGTTGATAATTAGCACAGTTAGGCACAGCCTAAGTGATGGGGAATCAATCAGACAAATATTAAAAACTTCAGTGGCGTTTGATGCAATTCATTGTTTATCTGATTAAGATCATCGCGAACATTGTGATGTTGATCATTCATTTTTAATTTTTGAAGCATTTTAGCATTTTGGAGAACTCGTATAACTGAGGAAAACCCAGAAAAAGTAATTATTGTTATTAAGAATTCCCGAAGTTGTAGGCCACGACTGCAATAGCGCTGGCGATCGGACGGCAACGAGCATCACTTCCGCTATGCCGAAGGCTGATAATTAGGTATAAGGCACTGAAAAATACCATAGCGCGTTTCGAAACTAAGCCTAGAGAGGAAGAAGAAGAAACAGTCAGGAGCATATGAATCCAGTAAAACTCTGGAAAAACTGAAAGTGAAAATTGAGGAGTAATCCAGTTTGGGGAAGACAATCGAAACGTGCATAGGCGGCAAAAGAAATAAGTAGCCTTGTGGAGATCATAAAGACCGAATTCCTACATGAGAAGGCCCTGAGACTATAAGCGGAGGAGGAATTTAGGAATTATGGGGAAAAAAGAGAAATAAAAAAGATCTCGTCCCTAGACAAAATAAGTTCAACCTAGACCTACAGCCCGCAGTCTTGGATACATATGAAGAAGCCATAAAAAAGATTAAAAGTGTCAGGAAAATGGCAGACGGCAATATGCTCTTAACACTCACTCAAGGGGCAAAGGAGAAAAAAAAACACCCAGAAGGCCCTTGGGACGTTAAGACTAAAGTGCTCAATGGAGGTAAAATGAAGATACTACAAAAATACCAAGTAAAGAATAAAGAACTCTTTGGCCGTAGACCCCCGCTAACCACCGACATTTTTCCAAATACAAGGAATTATAGATGCCTGTGACAAGATAAAAATCGGTAAGACCCCAGGCCGGATATCCTTCCACCAGAAATTATCAAAGAATCGGTTTTAGAAGAGGTAAAGATATATGGAAGAAAACAAGACTGGTATTAATAGAAAAAATTGGTCTAAAGAATTTAGACAGTACTTCCCTCGCTTTCGGAAATGTGACGACTCCATGCCTATTATGTTTTTCTTTCGCAGTAGATTTCAAAGCATTCGGTATTATAGTTCCTGAGTAAATTAATAAAATAAATTTACGCATTCATTTTTTTTTTTTTTGAGTCACCCGGTATATGCAAATTCAAATAATATGAATGGAATGATAAATTACAAGTACAGACTCCTCATATTTTGTACATTCTAGATAGGATTTATTCGGCAAACTTTCGAGCTGACGTCATCAATTTTTTGGAGGGGATAAGTAAATATATTTTGACTAAACATTTATTATGCTCTTTATAACCTTAAAACATCTGCAAGATTTCAAAACATTCGGTTTTGTATTTCATGATTAACTCAATAAAATAAATTCACGCATTTATTAATTTTTTTGAGTCACCCTGTATATGCAAATCGAAAAAATTTGAATGGAATGATAAATCACAAGAAGAGACTCATCATATTTTGTACATTTTAAATAGGATTTATTCGGCAAACTTTTGAGCATCAAGTTTTTGGAGGAGATAACCAAATATATTTTGACTAAAGATTTATGATGCTCTTTACAGCTTTAAAACATCTGCAACATTTCAAAGCATTCGGGTTAGCGGATTCAAAATTAAATTGCAAAATGTTGTTTTATAATTTTGATTTTTTTTTCCAAAAATCTGGACGTTTCGAGTAAAAACTCAATTCGGAGTCGTAAACTACATGTGTAGGACTATGTTATTTTATACAATTTAGAACCCATTTACTATGTACAATTTTGAAGTGACGTCATCGCATTAGTGGTGGGGATGATTAGACAAATTTTGGTTAGCGTTTTACCATCTACATGATATTCCTAATATAAATACAAAATTTCACAACAATCGGTCCAGTACTTTCGGAGATTATCTGTCTAATAAAAATCCGGGACGGCAGACAGACGGACAGACGGAAATGGGAAACCTATTTCTTCGTCTTCTAGCGGTCATGAAAGATCCAGGAAACGTAAAAGTAGAGAGTCGGCCGACGGACTCGATTACAATACTTCCTTTGCTTACGCTCGGGAAGTAAAAACAAGAAAACGGTGACAAAAACAACCAAATACAAACCGATTTGTCTTATGAGCTCTCTGTGAAACGTGTATGAAAATCTGATTAATAAAAGCCAAAAGAAGAAATCAACGAAAGAGGTGGGCTGCAAGAGAAGCTATATGGATTTAGACCGGGGAGATCCACTATCAACGCCATAGAAGAAGTGATAAGGATATCAAAGGGAAATGATGGAACCGGAACACCTAAATGATCTGCTCTCATTTTGATAGACGCCAAAAATTAATTCGATACAGCAGGCTGAAAACTCATAGTCAGCAAACTCCAAAAAGAGCAATTTCTGAACACATAGTGAACACTTTCAAAGACTGTCTTAACAAAAGGAAAGTACAAATAGACAAAAACACCATATTGAAGATAGGATCGAGAGTTCCTCAAGGATCGGTAATAGGCCCTACTCTATGTAACATCTTAAATATATGACGACATTATGAAAACCGACGTCCCCGATGGAACCACTCTGATATGCTAGCCGACGATCTGGCTGTGGTTATCACGAGCCCCACCAAAGAACAGCGGATGTCTACAGGAAATGTAATGCTAAGCAAAGTCCAACTATGGATGACTATCAATAAACTGCAACAATAGCAAAGAAAAAAATGGAGGCAATAATACTCAATTCCAAGAGAAAGACAGAAGATATTGTATTTGAGCTGGAAAAACACAAAACAGTAGCCAGTGAAAATATGAAAGACCTTGGGATGGTCATCAACCGAAACTTGTCTTTAGGGAAACATATGTGTTAGCAGTAACAAAGAAAGCCAGGACAACTGTTAGAGCCTTAGAGTGGAAAAGTGAAGAATGCTATACAGAGCGATGGTTATCCAAAAATATAAAGATACAATGAAGTCCACCCAACGAGTAATGGCTCTACGCATATGTGGAGCCTTTACAACGGTCCCCTATGACGCAGCGATGGTGATTGCAGGAATCCCCCGGTATATATACTAGCTGAAGAAAGAAAAGACCTATTCAAGAACCCGGTAGCTGGCAAAGCAGACAGACTTAAAACCAGAGAAACAGCTCTCAATTCCTATCCGGACATAGATGTTTTATGAGGTACGTAGCTGCAGTAGAAAAGAGAGGCAGCGGAAAGTACATGTACTGCGAATCCGAAGATGATACACTCTTCCACTATCATAAATGAGACGATGCTAGAAATGATCTACAAGAGAAGATCAAAACCAAACTACGAGTAGATAACTTTGTTGACAGAATGACAGCGAAGAAAACTGGGAGATTGTAAAGGAAGACATGACGAAAATAATAAGAAGAGAGAGAAGGACCAGAAGAGGAAGAACAAGAAGGCAGCAGATTCTAGATAAGAAGGAATTACGACATAGGCCTCGGAGAGATGTAGAGAAACAAGAAATAAAGGAAGTCGGTAATTCGGTACGAAGATCATTCCTGGAAACAGAACAAAGGCAGGATCAAATTCAAGTCGGTCATGCTGACACTATCCGAAGATTAGGGACGAGAATTGTCAGAGAAGCGGAGAATAGTGATCGGCTGGAGCAAGTGAAGGATATAGGAGAATATAAATCTCTCCAGATACTACAAGTGTCGACCTCTATAGGAGTAGGACTGCCCACGGACTTCTGGAGCAGGCAGTGAGAGAAGGGAAGGTAGACGTGGTGCTGGTGGCGAAACCCAAAAAGGAGGAAACGACCTGACCTGAGCAGACCTAACCCGAGCTGACGTGACGTGACCTGACTTTATCTAAACTGATTTGATGTAACCTTTTTTTTACTCCTGGGGAAGGAGAAACCTTCAAAAGGGTCTCCGTGCGAAAATGTTCTTCAATTGTGCGGGGAACTATCGGATTTCTACCACACTAAAACCCCTCCCCGTCCATCTGTCCCTCTAAACGCCTACCACGGAATCACTTGGAAGATACCTATCATCGTAGTGGACGTCGGCTTCCCTCGCCATCATATCTCTTGTCCTTCTTCCCTTACGTTCTGCCTCATTATCTTGCCGATCATTTCTTTAATATCTACCCACCTCCCTTCTTTGACGACCTTACTAGAATTATCTACCGTGAGATCCTCTTGCAGTAGCATACCAATTTCCCTGCTTTCCTTCTCCCATCTCGCACAGCCCAACAAATGCTCCGGCACGTCTATTCCTCCACATAACTTGCATGTCTCTTCCTGAATTTTGCTTATTCTACTTAAGTACGTCCCGAAAGAGCCGTGGCCCGTTAAAAATTGGGTGACATAGTTGTCTATTCCTCCTTCCCCTCTCTCGATCCAGTCCTGCACCGTAGGGATCAACCCCCTCGTCCAAGCCCCGACCGTCGCATTTTACCATCTCTCCTGCCAGCTTTATATCATTTTGTATCTTTCCTCTACTATTTGTTCTCCCCTATTAAGGTATATAGGCCAGTGCCGATAATTTTTGAGAACAAAAAAATTTAGAACAGGATGATACCCTTTGCGAAAGAAAGAAAATATAACAAAAATAAAAGGGAAAATAATTTACGGGCGATCTGAAGTTGGGAAGTGGAAGAGGGTGAGCTTTTAAGGGTAAAAAACGGTTTATCATGATTTCCGGCAAAACTACAACTCCAACAAAAAACGTTAAATGGCAAAGTTCTAGATAATAAAAGCATCTACAACTTTTGTATTTAGACTTTTTTTGCATAACCTCAAAATTTATGCGAAAAATGCAAACAACCGAGGTTTTGGTTTTTTATTTTTATCTCCCACAAAAATTTTTTTTTTACGAAATTTTGCTGAAAACTTACCTATTTATGTCCCAAACTCACTGTAATTTTTTTGATTCAAAATATTTATTTTTCCCCCTTATTTTGATTTAATATCGAAAAACCACCCTAATTTTCAATCGAAAATTCTCATGTCAAAATGTTTGCTTTTTAAAAAAAATCCGTGTGCTTTTTGTTCGTTGAAATCTCTAGTTTCTGATGGATTTAAAAATTATCCTTTAACTTTAACAAAATATTGTAGATGTCTTATAAAGTATTAAGTTTATTAACTTATTTGGTTGTTAATTATAGTAGTATATTTCGATTTGCATTTTTTTAATTTATCAATGTAACATAGAATCTTACGTTTTTCAAGTAATTAACGTGTAAATTTTGATAAATAGCTTCAAATTTTACATAATACATAATTAAGAAACAAATTTTTGAATTCGAGTTTCTTCGTTTTTTTGCATTTCCTGTGAAAATTTGCCATAGTAATGTATATTTTTTTACACCATCAGAAAGTAGAGATTCTAGCGAACAAAAAGCACACAGATTTTTTTTAAAAAGCAAATATTTTGACGTGAGAATTTTCGATTGAAAATTAGGGTGGTTTCTCGATATTAAATCAAAATAAGGCGAAAAAATATATATTTTGAATAAAAAAAATTACAGTGAGTTTGGGACATAAATAGGTAATGGGAGATAAAAATAAAAAACCATAAACTCGGTTATTTGCATTTTTCGCATAAATTTTGAGGTTATGTAAAGAAAGTCTAAATAAAAAAGTTGTATATCTTTTCATTACCTACAACTTTACTATTTAACTTTTTGCGACAGGACTTGTAGTTTTGCCGGAAATCGTGATAAACCGTTTTCTACCCTTAAAAGCTCACCCTCTTCCACTTCCCGACCTCAGATCGCCCGTAAATTATTTTTCCTTTTATTTTCTTCCTTTTCCAATGGGTATGATCCTGTTCTAATTTTTTTTCACTTTTTACCATTTTCAAAGGCTTCGGCACTGGCCAAATATGCTCGTCCTCATATTCATCAGGAGGTCTATCCGGGCGAATAACCGATAGCGCTTCGCTCGATACGGTCCGATACGCTGAGGCCACCCCAATTAGCGCCTTACTTTGACACCTTTCCATAAGATCCTGTACTTTTTGACCTTTACCATATCGACCCACACCGGAGCCTCATACATTAAAACGGAATGCACAACCCCCACCAAGATCCTCCTCTTGCCACTACTGGGAATGTCCTGATTGGGCATAATTCTCGCTGTTTTTTTGACATTTTGCATCATCTTGAGGTCTTTGTCAATCCACACTCCTAGATAGGTATTTAATGGCTTGTCTACTCTGCACTGCATAGTCCTTTACCCTTATCTCCAGTGATTTCAACTTTCCGCGTCCAGCTGTTACTACGATTCCCGTTTTCTCTGCTGCCAGCTCCATCCCGTGCTCATCCATCCACTCGATCACCCTTTCTACCGACTCGTTTGCGGCTTCTACCAATCTCACTACCTCTTCTGTCGTAACCATCAGTGCCAGGTCGTCGGCGTACGCTATCATCTCCGTCTCACATGGCATCCTTAACCTCAATATTCCATCATAGAGAAAGTTCCAGAGTAGGGGGCCAAGCACGGAGCCCTGAGGTACATCCCTACGCAGTACCATTTCGCTTAGCTCTGCCTCAACGACCAACACCCTGTTCTGGAAGTAAGTTTCGAACATCCTAATGAGGTACCCGATACGTGTCTCTAAAGCTTAATTATCCTATCCCATGGCGCCGAGTTAAAGGCATTCCTAACTCAAAACTGATCATGATACTAAGTTTTTTAGACTTATAGCTCCCACGTGTACCCTCTCTCGTCAATTCCACCAACTTAGTGACCGCATCTGTGGTCGACTTCACCCTAATTCTGTCGCCCAGCAACCTCTCAACTAATTTGGCAACTGTACTCAACATGCAGATTGGCCAGTATCTTTATTTTCCATCGGTATCAGAGTGCTTCGGTATCAACACACGGTATATTCAACTTTCTAGAAAAATCACTTTTTTTTAAACACGTATTCATAACCCTCAAGACTATCTCTGGAGTGTCGTTTACTACCACTCTTAGGACTTCATTTTCTATCTGAACCAGTCCGGGAGCTTTTTTATTTTTAAATTTACTGGTGACCTGGCTTAATTCTTCTAGGATGAATTCGGGGATATCTGCGGTCGGTCTCTGATTTCTGGCTTTTTCCTTATCATCTTCGCCTCCACTCGGGAACTATTTCTCCGCGATCTCTATTTGCTCTGCTTTCGTATCCAGGTATACTCTTCTTTTAATCCCAAATCTCTTTGTAACAATCTGGTCTGGGTTAACCCATATATCATTTTCCAGTTCTCTCACCAAGCTTCCACGCTTTCTCCTTCGCCTCCTTCCTCATTTTTCCTAGTTTTTCCCTAGCCGTTACTTATTCTCCCATCAGATCTCTCACTGTTTCGTCGTTGTCCTTGCGTCGCCCCCTGAAGCTTTGTATTCTCCCTTGTTATTTTCCTTTGTATCGCGATACATTCTCTTCTCTGTTGAGCTATGTTTGCGTTCCACCAGTATTTGTTTCTTTGTCTTTCAAGTTTTGTGCCAGATTTTTGAAAGGTGCTATCGCAGGCTTCTTCTATTAATCTTTCTAGATCTTCCGATGTCCTTACTTCGTCTTTGCCTCTATTCCAGAGTGTAACTTGTATGTTCACCGGCAAAGTCCGTAACCCTTCCTTGATAATTTTCCACTTTCTCGTCTCTTCAGCCTGTTTCTCTTATTTCTTTGTGCGGTCCACCTCGAACATTATAGGCCAATGATCACTCAAACTCTCGTCATCAAGTACTCGCCATTCTTTTATCCTCCCTCTTAGGTCTTCAGTAGACATCATAACATCTATACGAGAAGTCTGGTTTTCTCTAACGAATGTGGGTTTATTGCCCTCATTCGCCACAATCATTCCTCTTGACGAGAACAATTCTTCCAGCAGTTATCCATTTTTATCGATGTACTTGTCTCCTCACATAGTAGACTTCGCGTTGTCCTCACCCACTACTAATCGTCTATTCCAACTAATCATCTTCACCTCCAATTGATTGAGATATTCTCTATATATCTCAAACTTTACATTGGCTGAGATATATATACCGCGCACAACTTGAACTCCCTAAAATCTATCCACACCATTCCTCTTCTCTTTCCGCTCTTAGTCCACCTCGTTTCTTCCGTATGATTGTATACCTTGATAGCTACATCAACTTCTTATTGGGTTCCGACACCAACACCACATCAACCTTCCATTCAACCACCGTCTGCGAACGAGTCTAGACCATGGCCGACTAGTATAAAGATTATGGCCTGTCCAAGAGGTACGATACGTGCTGCCATCTATTAATAATTACACTTAATAATTTAGCCAAATTTTAATTTGACTTGACATTATGGGACTTCAAAACGTGTAATGGTGGTTTGTTTCGGTATGAATGCCTTTGTGCCTTTCAAAAAGTGTTAATAATTCTTTTGTCGCTTTTGAATTATTAATAGATGGCAGCACGTATGGTACCTTTGGCATTCCTTTGGACAGGCCATAATCTTTATACTAGTCGGCCATGTCTAGACCTACTATCCGATCTAATTCGTTCGACCATTTCTTGGTATCTCTCGCATCTCATGCTGTCTAACCGGTGCCCCTCTTTACTACATATATAGAATTTTGCTCTATAGTCCCCTCTATATCCCTCACAACTGTCTTCTTCCTTTGAGATCTTCTATTCTAATCCCATTTTCCTCCCCAATCACTCGTATCTCGGACTCTAGTTTTTCAACCGCCCCATCTTTCCTCTCGGCGGTTTTCAACACAAAACCTCCCCGGACCTTCCCGGCTTCGATCACTTTTATTCCTATATCTTGTATATCTATCTGCTTCTTTAAGTTTTTTATCATTCCTTCCTGAATAAGCAGCTCTTCCAATTCTGGACGTTTCCTAATGAATTTCTCAATAGTGGTCATACCTTCGTCGTTTTCGTGGACCAAGATTACCTCACTTCCTTTCTTGCGTGTTCTATCAAATTCCCCATCTACTGTTCTAGTCGCCTTTGTGCCATTCGTGTTTTAAGTTAATCTCTCTGAAATATGAGTAGCTCTTATCCTGTAGTTCCAATTGGGTCTCTATCTCCTCTATTTTCACTGTTGCACCTGTTTCGTCTTCAAGAGTCTCCTTTAATATTTACATTCTTTCATACCGTTCTTCCATAGATGCTATTCTTTTTCGCAGCTTTCGATTCTCCCCCTATTTCTTCCGTTGGTAGATGTATCTTATATTCTCTCCTCATTTTCACGTCCTCTTTCTTAACCCCTCTTACCCGTTCTCCAATTTCGCTAGCCATTTTTTTTATTTCTACATGTACATCACGATTCTCTTTACAGAACTTCTCCAGTAAGGTAATTACTTGTTCCAGTTTTCCATTTCCGTCAGTCGCTTCTTCGGTCTTCGGACTGTATTCTGCTTTCCTTTTTTTAACCAACCTCTGCCCTATTATTTTAACTACCTCCTTGTCCTCTCCTTTAAACATTTTTTTCAAATACATTAACTTTCTTAGATACCGGTGTCCATACTTTCCCCCGTCCTCTCTCTCTAATAGTCTTTTGTCTTTGTCACTTGGTAATCTATCCTGTATCGCTCCCGGACTTTGTACCAGCGAACTCCTTCTTTGTTCCGTAAATTTTTTCATAAACTTTTCTTCTACTTTCCTTATTTCCTCTTGTTCTCCATGTTTTCCCTCCATTTTTTTTCCTCTTACAGTCGCACTATCTACGTCCGAGGCCTGATTCCCCACCTCTTCAGACATTGCGGTCGCTGGCTGATCGTCCACTGGGGCCCACTCACTCACCCCCACATGGACGGGTACTGGGTTATCCGAAGTATGTACCCTGCACCGTAATCTTGTCCTTGTTCATATCGCTATTCATCTTTATAATGGGTAACCGGATAGTGGGAAAAGGAGAGACTACTAGCGCCTGGATAACCTAATGGCATCGGGGTCGAAAGAAAACAAGAGTTGTCCAAAGAACGACGACAGATAAAGAATAAAGTTTCCATCCAACGAATTTTTAAGGTTTCTACCGACAAAATTTTCATTGTGAGGTGCTGTTTAAATATTTCATAACGATCTTCTGACAGATAGTTTTTGTACATTTTATGAGCAATATATCTTAATTTCATATAATATCTAACTTCGTTGTAAACATTAGTGTTGTTGTTGCAAATATTTAATTAACTATACTGTAGAAAGCACTGCAGGCATTCTCAACATCTGTTGCTAAACATACAGAGTTCCAATTAACATTTAATAACATATGATGCATAAATGGGTAGTTGGATTTCTTAACAAAATATCTGTGAATCGTTAATAATTTTTTTTTTACTGCGATGAACAATTGTTGCACATTATTACTATTCATTGAGTACTTATTAAATATAAACATCAATAATACATCAAACGCAACTTTTCTAATTCTATTTTTTGACACGAAATTTCCTATAACTATCTTCATTCATCTGCAAGCTTTCAAAGCCAAGTTAGAACTCCCAACTTACTTTACAACTTACATCAACCCAAAGCCGAGACTCGGAGTCTTTCAAGAAACCCGACAAAATGAACACGAAATAATGCGTATATGATGCCGTGGTAATCAGCATGGCAACGTGAGAGAGATTCTGTGTAGTAGAAAGGAGTCCTGATAGTGAATCTTGTCATTTTCTCCCTTTTAAAATAGCCGAGAAAATAATCCGTCCATCTTAAAGCTCCCCCGCTTCTGACTTGTTTCTAAAATAAATAACGAAATTCGTGCGTTTTTGAGGTTTAGTCGCTAATAACATTATTACTTTGAGTTTCGCACAAATACTAATATACTTTCAAAAGTTTCCAGAGACGGATTATGCGAAAAATGATTATGCAAAGAACGAGAGTGCTTTTGAGTGTTTCACTCTTACTGAACTTCGAAGATTAGTTTATAATACACCGATACTTATATCAATTTTAATTGTTAAGTAAGAGCTTCCTGTAAATTTTCACTGCGCCATTGTTTAGTATTTTTGGCTACAATCGAAACAACAAATCTCAAGACAGTTCCGTCCCCCACGAGACCGATAAATTTCACTGATCCTTGCTCACATTTCTGTAGACTTTAATACTAATATAGAAAGGTCGCACAGAGATTAAATAAAGCTGTTTTTGTCTACCAATCAATACGGCACAAGAAAGATTGATTGTTCATT